CCCCCCCTCTTGGTTGGAATAGAAGAGGGCGAGGGGCTGCTCTTTTGGACAAAAAGTAATAATACATTGATCTAAATATACCACAAAGAGATTGAGAATTGTGTGATACTTAACTCCACGAAGGACGCTCAAAGCTTAACTAAAGAAAACTCTATAGGCAGCTGCTTATGACAAATAAATTGAGAAGCAGGTATTAAGTACAAAATATCAATCAATTATGCATATATCAAGTTCTTTATGTTCCCGTGGCAAGTAGACACATCTGAGCCTATCAAAAAACTGAAACACAAAACAAAAATCCTATTTTTATCTCACCAAAAACCAACCTAATAATTTCAGCTAAGGAAAAAAAAACACTTGGATTAAGGACATGTACATGTGCGATGGAGCAAGACCCGTGTGCGGACAGTGGGAAGAGACCCCAGTCCACTTTTCAGGATTGCACTAGGTATCAGCTCTTAGCCGGTTCTTATTTGCCCTAGTGATAGATGAGTTGCTGCGACATATTCAAGGAGAGGTACCTTGGTGCATGTTATTTGCAGATGATATAGTTCTTGTTGACGAGACGCAGAGGCGGTGTTAATATATACTAGGCTGGAGGTTTGGAGGCAGACACTAGAGTCTAAAGGTTTCAAGTTTAGTAGGATTAAAACAAAATACTTGGAGTGCAAGTTCAATGACGTGACTTTGAAGGCTAACATGAAAATGAGGCTAGATACACAAGTCATACCCAAGAGAGGAAGTTTCAAGTATCTTGGGTCTGTGATCCAAGCCTCCAAGGTAAAGGGAGTTTGGCGTTGATATCACTCATCGTGTTCGAGCGGGGCGGATGAAATTGATGTTTGCGTATGGCATCTTGTGTGATAAGAAAGTGCTATTAAGACTTAAAGGTAAGTTCTACAGAGTGTTTATTAGACCGACTATGTTGTATATATGGGGCGGAGTGTTGGCCAGTTAAGACATCTCATGTTCACAAGATGAAAGTAGCAAAAATGAGGATGCTAAAATGGATGTGTGGGCATACTAGGAGAGATATGATTAAGAATGAAGATATTCGGGATGAGGTGAGAGTGACCTCCACAGTGGACAAGATGGGGAAAGTGCGGGTAAGATGGTTCGGTCATGTGAGGTAGGCTATGGTGAGGCCAAGGAAAGGTAGAGGTAGGCCGAAAAAGTATTGAGGAGAGGCGACTAAGCAGGACATGACACATATTCAGCTTGCCGAGAACATGACCTTTGATAGGAGGGCGTGGAGATCGAAGATTAGGGTAGTAGGTTAGATAGTCGTCAAGCGTAATTCCTTTTGGTACATGTATTGCGTTTCTATACTTGTAGTACTAATGTATTCTTGTACTTCCATTTCTTAGATTTCTAATAATACTTGTTTCTTTTGCTTCGGTTATCTTTTTTTCTAACCGTAATTACTATTTCTCTTTACATAGATTCTTCTTTGTTGTATTTCCTTATCCTATTTGTTGTGATTATGCGCCGATGGTCTCTTGGAAACAGTCGCTCTACCTTCTCAAGGTTGGGATTAAGGTATATATACACACTACCCTCCTAGGTATGTTGTTGTTATTGGAGAAAGTAAACACCTGAGAAACCGCACGTCATAAGATTAACATAAAATGGTCGTGAGCATACATCAATCAAGCTACACCGTAATTTCAAACTAGTTGAGATTCATGATCATCCAAAGGCTTTTTATTGCAGCATTCATCATATAAATGCATAAAGCTGATTAAGAAAAAACAAGAGATTAATTAAAGTGGAGAAATATATACGAACCGAGATACAAAAGCTTCTGAGCAGTGTCATTGGGATCCATGTTGCATTCTTTGAGCATGGCGTAAATGTCATCGTCGCTGTGCTTGCCACCAGCGATCTCCTTTATATCATGGATCGTCTTCCCTACATTGCTCGGAATCATCGAACCGCCGGTGCTCATGACGATGCTGTCAATAGGAATTGCGGCAAATATTCAAGATCAGAATGATCAGCATTACAGAATATAATAGCGAGTTCAATTAGAGATTCACATGTACGCGAGACAGTCCCAATTTAATAGAGCTTGGTTGAATCTATCGCCTCTGCATGTTTATGCAAATCTTTATTTATTAATTTTTCCTTTTTTCCCCCACAATATTGAAGAGTTAAGATAACAAGGTTTGGTTAAATTGAAACCTTACAAGAATGTGGTGTAATTTAGAGTAATCATAGTTTTATTTTTTTCTTTTTTATTTTTTACTCGATGCCCGACCAATGATGTATGTTATTTACTAATGACATTGTGTTAACTAGTTTCTGGATACGCCCTTTGCGCGTGTACCCTAATTTAATGAATATATATTTTTTTTTTAAAATTACATAACTAAAGTATTTGTGTTTGAGTTTTAAAATAAAAATCAAAGAAAAAAATTTAACTTTTTGTAAATGAGAAATGCTTATCTTATTTAGTTAGCTCAGCAAAGAAATAAAAAGACCTATAATTACTTTCTGTATAAATTAAAAGTTAGTGATCTTCCTCTTTGACTTTATTTCGGGAACAAGCAACCACAATTTAATGAATATTTTTTTTAAAAATTACATAACTAAAGTATTTGTGTTTGAGTTTTAAAATAAAAATCAAAGAAAAAAAATTTAACTTTTTGTAAATGAGAAATGCTTATCTTATTTAGTTAGCTCAACAAAGAAATAAAAAGACCTATAATTACTTTGTGTATAAATTAAAAGTTAGTGATCTTCCTCTTTGACTTTATTTCGGGAACAAGCAACCACAATTTTAATCCATCTGAAAAATGCCAGTCACCTTCATTATTTCATAAAAAAAAATTATGCTTTATTTTCTATTTTATGTTTAAGAAAAATGTTATAAAATATACATGTAACTAAAATTTATTATTTTTGTGTAAAAGTTAAGTGATGATTCATAATTAAACTACAATTTGTGTTGGTTAAAACTGTAATGTAAACTTTGAATAAATTATTATTTAAGACTTTATAGTAACTTATGTATTTGTTGGTTTTCCTAGTCATGCAAAATCAAAGAAGAATTCCTACGGGGTTAGAGAAGAACACTTATAGAAAGGGGGGAAAAAACTTTCGTAAGTTGGCCACATCGAAAACAAATTAAAAGCATATTAATTATTTATATTATAGTATTTTTGCAACTTTAAATATTAGGACTTTTTACATAGCTTTTTTAATAACATTGTGAATATTACTATTGATCAACAAATGATTACACTTATTGAGCACTTTACATCATAATCTCCTCCTCACAGGATCTATGAATGCTCCATCTCAAACTAGGCTATACATCAGTGATATTTCTCAAGAATCTCTACAGCTATCGGCCTTCCTTGACTTATGAATATTACTTACTCCAACTAACATTTCATGCTTAATCTGTTCTAATGTATCTATGCTATTTACATTAGTTCCTTTAAAAATCTTCCAATTTCTTGCCTTCCATGTATGATAGAAGACAGCTCCCATTGTTGCTGTAACCACTTCTTACTTTAGCTGTTCCCACTTTTTCTTTTTAATGTTGTTCATTGTGCTCGCTATGTCTCCTTCTTGCAATTGTACACCAAGTCATCTCAGCACCTCAGCACACACCTTACTTATTGATCACGCCCAATTATATCTTATAAAAAGGATTAAGCGGCCGTTGCAAATACAATTCGGTTTACAAGCCCGGAGTCGAATCCCACAGAGAACTAAAGCTTAGCTACAGTTGATCAATATCACTAAGAAATACAAGTCCAAACAATTTCCTAATTAAAAAGATTATAATATTTATTTTTATCTAATTAACTAACAAATACTAGAAAGCAGTAAAACTATCAATTAACAAGGACAAGGATTGAGACAAGACTAAGGAGGTCTAGAGTTATGACTTTCCCTATCATCGGAATCCTTTTCGCTATATTATCTATAAATTTGCCTAAGTCTTCTCTATCGATCATGAGCACTCTGACTGTTGTAACTCTTTTCTGAGTAATTACCACAATTTACTATACATATTCTCCTGAATTATGCTAGCTAGCATTAAATACGGCTCACTCGGATCGCACCAAGGTTTTGTTATCCCTAATCCCACCTTTAAACCCTTCGTATTGATCCCTCATATACGTTAGGAGTGATGTTGTTCAACAACTACCTAAATATGCACTCTCTCCCGAGTAATACATACTAAATAGGCACAGTCTATTGAGATCTCTTCAACCAACCACAGTATAAATGTAGTTGAACAAATAGAGAAAAAGCTACAGCAAATCTATATTAACATAACAGAAAAATCATCCTCCAATAAGTTCCATCAAAACCCTAGATAACAAATTAGCTATTCATAATGGTATGCATAACTACAATACTAGAATTCATAACCAATAATAGAAATAGGAAGAAGAAAGTGAAAACTCGTGGAAGAATTCTCCACCTTGCTCCTAGTGTGTTCTTGCCTCCATAGGTCGAATCCTCGGTCTCCTTATCCAATCTCCACGGCGGCTCCGTGGTCCCTAGGTCTAAATTGTGTCAAAAGTCGATCTCCCTAGAAGGTGGCATTTTTAGGTCTATTTATATGTGTAGGAAAAGACCTAAACGTGTAGGCCAAGTCCTAGTCAAACCAGGAAACGAAATAAGCCTTCAAAACTCGGACTGGATCTTGCCCGAAGCCTGGCGTCGCCAGCCTAATGCCTGGTGGACCTGGCCTTTGCCTGGCCTCGGCAACCTAATGCCAGCTTCAAGTATGGCCTTTGCCTGGCCTCGCCAACCTAACGCCAACTTCAAGCCTGGCTTTTGCCTGGCCTCGCCAGCCTAACGCCCGCTTCAAGACTGGCGTCGCTAGGGTTTCTCATTCATTGTTCTCGAGCACGCTTTTAATGTTTAAGTATCTCTTTTGCTCTACTTTCATCTTCAATTCACCTACACATAAAATAGACTCCATTACGTGCAAATACAGTAATTATCATTAAAGCATATAAAATGCAAGGCAAATAATGTACGAAACTATGGAATTATAGCCACACATCAATATCCCACACTTAAATATTGCTCGTCCTCGAGCAATCAAACTACACTTATAGACACAACCTTGAGCACTTTGTTTTTACATAATTGAGGCATACCACACCAATGACCATGGTTTATAGCAATAATTAAACTCTAGCATATGCAATTACTTACACTTCCCTTTTCTTATGCCTTACTTCATAAATATTCACAACAAAGACAACATGCTCCTAACAATCCTAGCCTCAAAAACCAACTCAATGTCACAATGCACTCGTGGCTTGAACATCTAACGTCATAGAGAGAAGTCTACTAACGTTACCTATCCCTCGTGAAATCATGTGCCCTCACCACGAGAATAAGAGAGTAAGTTGAATCCACATATTCAAATCAAATGCTCAAATATATTTTAAGGACTCATATATATCAAAGAATATCACTCACTCTCACAAAAGAAGTCACATGCATGCAATTGGTACCATAGGCTTGCCCATAATGTAAAACTCTACTAATGTAAGCTCACTTGATCTAAAATCAATTAGGACTTTTTCAAAGTTGTAATTTAGGCTAAGGAACGAGTATGATATATTTAGGAATAGTAGTTCACCCTCCTAAGCACTTTACACATCACTTAATAATCTTTATGCGCAAATTTCTCAATCCCATTCAATTTCACAAATAAAATCATCCCTAACAACGTACCCTTCTTCTTTAAGAACTATTTTAATTCATACCCACTAGCAATAACAAGACAATAATTTATTAATCTCTATTTTTCTTTCCTTTTTTTCTTCAGATTTTTCTCCTTTTTTTCCTTTGCAGTTTTTGCTAGTGATGTATTACTTTACAGAACAAGTGCACCTTTCTTATTTTTATTGGTTCCACTCAAAATCCACCTTACACTTAGTCCATTCTTACTTCTTTTAGCGCTCATTTCACAATTAACGTGCTTTAAGAGGTAAAAGGATCAAAAATATCAATTAAGAACAAAAAGGGTATAGGCTTGTAATATGGGTGCCAAATAAAAGTCTATATGCTCAAAGGGGTTAGCTAGGGACAAATTTTATTTGTGATAGCGATAAAGCTCGAAAAGACATCAAAGAAAGCCTAAAATTATTTTTCACATAGAGATTCACCTAAAATTTCGCTTTCACATACCAAGCAAGTTCTAGACACAAGTACATTACATGAACTACACAAAATCTCACCACACGTGGAACATGATTCACTAAGGCGGTCTGATTCCGATTCTCAAACTAATGCAAGTATTCACATAGCCACAAGATATTAAGCATTAAGCACAAAGTGAACATAAGTCAAAAAAATGAGACGTAGGCGTCACAAAACATGCTATCCAAATAACTAAGGCATCATAAGCAATTTTAGCTCATAGGGAAGATACTACATATGCCAAAGCCTAAATATGCTACTATCAAACAAGTCAAGAGCGCCTAGGAATCTCATTTTTCTTCCTCCATTTATTTCCTAATTCTAATTTACTCTAAAAAAGGAAAAACTACTACCTGGTTCAAGCAAAACCATTGGAAAAGAACCGCGGTACAAAGAAAAATCAAGGGAGAATTACTACACTACCTAGAAAGAAAATCCTTTTTGTTTAGACTTAAATCCCTCAATAAAAAAAATTAATTAATTAAACTAACACAACTAAAATTGCATAGAAAGTCACCCAAAAAATCTCCTCACCCCACGCTTAAAATTGTGCATTGTCCCTAATGCATACCATAACTAATAAAAGGGTAAAAGAAACTCCCTGTAGACCAAATGCCGAAGCACTAGCAGCTCATGGGGTACTCAGACTTCTCCTAATCTTTCGTGCAGGCACCTCACACTTAGTTCAACCATTTGGTTTGTTGTTGCATCCTTCCAATAGTTTTGCTTTCCATGCTCCTAGAAAATCAAAAATCGACACTACAAAAATAATACAATTAAAAGAATAAAAGAAAGCAGTAAAGCTGGGTTGCTTCCCAACAAGCGCTTGATTTAACGTCGCGACTCGACGCGAATCACTTTCTGCCTCCAATTTGAACTTATGAATTGGACCCAAATTTTTATTCTGCTCTATGATCATGCTCTTGGGGTAGTGGAACGAATC